AAATCATCCTTTTGTCATTGATGGGAGCTGAACGTTAAACTGTAACAGGGAATTGCACGCAAGGCTGGGGATGCATATCACAACGCACGAAATTCGTGCACAGACTCATTTCCTGTTTTTGGTGTGGATTCCATTACCTCAGTCGAGATGCATTTGTGAAATGTAGCGGAGGAAGCTTCTAAAAGCTTTTTGTTAAGAATTAAATAGAATTTAAACATTTAAATGTTTTTGCTTTTCATTTTCCTCGTACACAGAATACTCTCGTTCACATATGGAACAAATGTGTCCCACCACATCTGCAAGCTTGGAACACATCCAAACTTCATCTCGTCTCCTTCGAATAATGTAAACAGCACCTAAAGTGATTAAATCGCTGTGCCGCCAGGAATTTTGGGCCCCAAGAAAGGCTTTGATATTGCCAAACAATGGGAGGCCATTTTATTATATGGTGATCATTATAGAAAAAATGTTTTGCAATTTTTATATATATATATAACAAAATTTTCACTTAAAGTTTTTGGAATGTTAAAAAGTGGGAAATTCCCACAGACTCTGTAATGATGCAAACCGGCTCGTCCTTGAACACACTGTAGCTTACATTCCTCACTGGGACAGGACATGATGGGGGACAAGGAGACTTATTTAACATAAATATCCTGCTAAACATCTACTAGCATTTAGCAGATGTTAACCCTCTGACTAGGCCATTTTCATGTTGCCCAGTCTATCATGTATGTAAATTCTCTGCTCTGTGAGCTTTCTGGTTTAGTTGTTTGGTCTCTGTGTTATTTACGGACACAATAGACTCATTAAATGTTGGGTTAATCCTGGTTTAATTCTTCTTGAAAAATAAAAATGAAACTGCAGAAGTAATTATATTTGAGTCTTATTTGTGGCTCAGGAAAAAAGGCCTCTTTCTCTTTTCCAAATAAGGGAATCTTTGCAATAACATTGCTAAACTTAAGCAAATCTGCACATACTCCATTTATAAGCTAAGTAATCTTGGCAAAAACATGTTTTTCCTGTTTAAGTATCAGAGCCAACTTGGAATTCGACTTGTCAATAAATGTTTTTCCCCCTCTGGAGATAGAAGTAAAGTGAATCGTTTCAAGTGTTCTTCTTTCTATCTTAAGAGAATTCTACCACTTGCAATCATTTTCTGTTAAAGACAGTAAACATCTGGTTGGCATTATTAATGATGTGATTTCCCTCTGACCTTGAGGAGATTCAACTAAGTAGTAATAGCCAGCAGATACCCTGCTTTACTCAACAGGTTAATCAGTTTTCATTAATTTGATCTATTCAGGTAACAAACCTGTCCTAAAAAAACTGGGTCAGGGTATTGCCTTGACGCCTTTCTCCAGCTCTCTTTTTTCCTTTCTCTCCTGTTCCTTTTTGAAAACCAGACTTTGGGACGCTGCATTTTTCAGCAGCGGACAGTTTTTCCACAATGCTTCTTATATACACATTTTCATGCTTTTGTGTTTTATTTATCCCTGTGTCAAATGATGCCTGCATGGCACTTAAGCCCCGGGACTGATGCGCCATGCAGGACCTGAGGACCAAACATTAATTGTAATTTCACAAGGGGGTTCAACATGATCCTGCTTTGTTTCACCGTTTACTGCACAAAGATAATTAATTTTACTGCTGGATTTTCTTATTATATTTGAGATATATAGCGGAAGATATGTTTCCTTTTTTTTTGGGAACCCCCTCACTTAAGGATCCTTCAGGAATCTTTCAACTCTGTATGGCGTTCCTGATAAATTGCATTTGCATCGTGTAGGATTGCATCAACGCTATTTTTTTCTCCACAGTGTCAAAGATTTGTCGTACCGTAAAGCCCTGCATACACTGCAATTTTTTTTTTCGATCGTTGCACGCATCTGCTGCTCGCACTGTACGACTAAAGTGTGAGCTCACAATTGCCCTACACTCTCATGCGACTCGGCTCCACAGTGAGATGGAGCTGCTCTGACTTGTCTATCCGGAAGCCAAACAAATAGAAGGGGGACATTAAGCTCACTATAGTGAACCGCACTGCCTTGGCAATTTGTGCAATTTTGTGTAGAGGGTCCTAGAAAGAAAGGGACGACGACGTATTTGGAAAAGAGAACGTGGCTGAGCAGACGTGGCTGAGCAGGCGTGGCTGAGCAGGCGTGGCTGCCGCGGTCCGTCCATTTTGCAGACGGAGCTGCATTTCACTCATTGCATCCCTGCCATGCTGCTGTGTTTACATCTGAGAGGAGGAATAAAATAAGAATCCTTCTTTGCGCATGCGCCCTGAGCAATTTGCCCAGGACGGTCGGGAGAAAATCAAACATGTTTGATATTTAATATTTGACCTTACGATTCCTGATTGGGAGGTGGTCATGAGAGGCTGTGAGCGCCGCTAGTAGCCCCCTACACACTATACGACTCAAGACGCACGATCAGGCTGAAAGTCGGACCGATCGGAAAATTCTCGCACGACTGGAAAATCGCCCTGAAAATCACACAGCGTACGCCGGGCTTAAGGCAGACCTGGATGCATAAACTAATCATTGGAGGGGCAATCCATGTTTTCAGGAGGGCACATTTTCTTAACAAACTGTTTGTTTTATTTTGGGCTTAACAATGGCTCTTTGACTACCCCTTCAGTGCTTAAAGAATAAAATCTTATCAAACTACCAAAATAAAGAATTCAGTTTAAAACAGATTGTGTAATAATTCATTCTACCGTACTCACTCAAAAGTTGAAAATAAGTCTAAATACATACACTGCATCATCACCTGGGCAATGCATGATTTGTCCCAATTCTTTCAGAAAAGAAACTCAGGGTTACTGCACTAGAAACAAAGGTGGGTAATAACTAGTTACATTTACTTTAACAAACTTATTAAAAAATGCACTTATAGGAGGTATTTTACAATATCGACCTATTATGTTTATATGAGTAAAAATATGATATTTTCACTAATTTCTGGCTGCTCCATCCATTGTGAGTAACTTCAATTAATGAAAACAAGCTTGTTTTCATTAAGGGAAATATGCACCACAAAGGGAAACACTTTTTCTACTGGAGGAATTTTGGTTGAATGTTATTTTCCACCTGCTGAGTCTGCCTCTATAAACTATACTGTAATTCTATCTTTTCTTACATACTCTATCAATTTTGCAAACCTTATAAATAAATAAAAAAAATGTGCCTTGAAGAGTGTTCATTCCACCCCATTTTTTGTGTAATCACTGTTAATTTTATTTTTATGTTATTATTTGAGACATCACAATTTTTATATCACTTAAGATTTTATTTTATTGAAATTTGCATCATTTTGTAAAATATTAAATCAATTGTTATGATAATGGTTAGCAAGTAGAACAACTATTCAGTACTTAAATAGCCTTTTTTAGGAAATACTTTTTTTACTGTTACATGAGTATTTGCTCTAAATGCTACTTTTTACTTGAATAAAAATATGATGAAATAGTGCCGCTCATTTAGTGTGGTTTATGAATACTCTTCCCACCTCTGATCATAAACAAACGGACTCAAGAAAAGTTTATTTCCCAAAGCTTCAACGGCGATCATCTCCCTGGTGGGAGTAACTAAGCGTCCCTCTGAAAAATCCTCTAAACCTCCAAATTATGATTTTTATTTTAATTAAGACCTTAACAGGCATTAAATTAATTAAATGTGATTATAGTGCCATTTAAAATGATTTATCTAAAAATAAAAACGTTTATAAAAACAGTTTCATGAGATCTATCAGATATAAGTGGTGTAGACAGTTCTGCGTGTTTCTGCGTAACTGCTCCTGGTTGATCGTAAAGCTTGTACAGTATGTTCGGAAAACAAATTGAGGCGGCGAAAAAGTTAGTGAATGGGAAAATGCAATTTTCATTAAAAGTGGCTGGAAAACAAGGAATTCGGGACATAGCTGCAGTCTGTCAGCGGTAAAGATGACGAAGGATTTTGCCATGTTATTTATATGTATACCGGTATATATAATATGAGAGCCATGGATAGTTGTTTATGGCATTAAAATTATTTCTAAGAGCATTAAAAAGCATTGAATTAAAGGTACTCATTCCTGTATTAGGTTGTTGCTAATGCAGCTTAATCCCCAAGCATAAATGTTTTTTCTCCATTGTTGATTTTGGCTTCCAACAAATATTACATTGCACTGCTTCCTGTTCACTGTAGTTTGTTCAATCAGCGCCTTTGACAACAGACCAAATATTAATGTCACAGCAGCTACAGTGATCACAGCTGCCTCAATAAGATAAGAACGATAAAATATTGGTCACTCCAGAATAAAAAAACAAAAGCCTAATAAAATAAACACTTTCCAGTCCAGGGTGGGCCCACTACAGGCTTATCCAACTTTCCTTTCCAAAGAAATTTCCCTAAAACAGTTCAAAATTAGGCTCATTATTGTCTGCGGCGTCCACATGCCTGAATAACCTCCCTACAACGCCTTAGCACGGTCCTGATAAGGTGGTGGGTGGTCTCCAGAGAGAGGATAGATCGAGACATGATGTCCAAGATGTGCTCAATAGGAATCAGGTCCAAAACATCAGCCAGAAAGTATAAGTACTGAGAAGTGGTCTGTGGTCCCCGTCTACAGAATCACTCCTTGATTTAGAGTGTCTTGCTAATTGCCAATGATTTTAATCTGTTGTCTATTCCATTTGCACAACAGCAGGTGAAAGTGATTGTCGATCAGTTTTGCTTCCTATGATGACAGTTTGATTTCACAGAAATTTGATTTGATTGAAATTATACTGTGTTGTTTATGGGTTCCTTTTTATTCATCAGAGAATGAATGACTAACAGAAAAGATAAGCAACGTCTGACCTTCATTTGATCATTTTCTTTGAGTTTTTATTCATTCACTAACAGAAATAATTTTTAGTCATTCCTATACTTAGATTATCATAATAAATCTGTCTTTACCTGTTTGGTTTGTATGTCTTTATTAATTACCTTCATATATCATGTTTTTAACTTTAGACCCGTGAAGCTAACCACAGTGGTGATCGGATGTCCGCAGAGAGGAGTAGCAGAACCGCCAGGACGCTGAACCATGTGGCCCTGGGACTCGGCATTGGAAGCCTTATCCTCCTCATCATTTATGTGGCTGTGCTTATGAACGTTGTTGCTAAGCAGTAATTCCTTAATTTCTTATCTTTTCTTTGCATGCTGCTTTTGCATACCTTATTAACGGCATGTTTGAGTTGGTCCCGAGGGCCAATATTCTGCAGGTTTTAGATGAGTCCCTGCTTTAGCTGATTTATATTGATGGCCAGGTAACGGGATTTGCTGAACTGCAATATTCAGAGTGAACTGTGTTGAAGCGGAGAAATATTGAAAACCTGTATGACGGCACCATTGAGGACCGACTTTGGACATGCCTGCATTTCTATATTGCCAGCTATCGCCTTGGAAAAAGAAGCCATCCTAAAGTTGCTTTTTTTTCCTAATATGTTAAAAGAATATTATCAGTGTGATTGTGATTAATGCTTTGCTACTAATGAGTCGGGAGTGAGTTGTAACCCTTCTCCGACATTTTTATTTTTGCATCAAACCAAAGTCTTCTGTTTTTTCCAACAGATCTCTGTTCTCAGACAAAATCAGCATAGCATCTAATATGTAACCAGCTCCGTTAGTACCTCTAGACTGATTTGTACCTGCTCTGTTCAACATAATTTCTCTTATTGGCAGTGGTTTGTTCCTATTCTTTTTTTATATTAACGCATAAACATTTTCTAAATAAAGAAATATGTTAACCATATATACTGTAAATCATGTGTGATGTATTTCCTCTGTTTATTTATCCAACCTCAGCAAATGTGTACCTTAAAACATAAGTTGTTGGGCTCAGCCATGGATGGGGACATTATACTGCTTCCATCTTCAAACATATTCGATAAAAGGACTCTACTCAGGATCCCCAGATTGGACCTTTTATTTCTCCACTTGCACACAGCCCCTGGAAGAAGGAGTCTGCCTGTTTTTAAACAAAACCATTTTAACAGCCCTCTCTTTCGCTTTTGCGTCACCCAGCTGGAAGCTTTTGATCACTGGATGGTGTGAAACTCATTGGCAACACAGACCTTATACCTTCAAATTGGATCCAGAGGTGAGGTTGTGAACGGGTGGAAGAGCACCCAGCATTTATAATGGTAAATAAGAGAAACCATCATTCTTTCTCGGCTTGTTCAGAAAAGATTTGAGTCAGAGTTTTCACCAAAAGAAAAGCAGTTTCAGAAATCTGTTTATGAGCGCCTCTTTTCTGCTGCTCTGAGGTAGCTGGTTTTTGGAACTGCAACTGCTTTATTTCATTGTGCATGTAAAGGTTTCCCCAAAATGGAACGTTCCAAACCATACACCTCCTCTAACTGACCTAGATCACCAGCCACAGTCGGGTAAGCGAACACGCTGCCCTTATAAGACGTATCCCTGATTGCTGCTCTAATATGTATTCGGTTATCCCTAATGCACTAAATACCAGAAAAGTCACATTAAAGGTGCATGTTTGTGATGTATAACTATACAAAAAAAGGCCAAAAACATTTAATATTGATAAAATAAGGGCATTTACAACAGGCATCCATCCTGAAAGTATTTTGATAGTCCTTTTTTTAGCCTCAGTAGAATTCCAGCACCAGGCCAAAGCAGACATAAACAGATGTGGGGATAATTAAGGGGCATTTCCTCTACCAGCTACCATTTTGTTTCTCTTTTTAAAAAAAAAATCCAACAACTTACAGAAAGATTATTGTATTATAGTAAACCTTTTAGGTTTAACTATTTACATACAGTCAAACTCAGCCAAAGCAGGGAACTGGTACTACATGTCCTTACCTTAATTTTAAAGTACTGTAATGGTCTTAAGAATGTTAAACTATTCTGGGCCTGGGGCTAAATGGTTCAAGATGCCAACAACTCTCCTGCTTAATACATCACAGACTTGCTGTCTATATAAATCGCACAGAACTCTCAGGTCTTCTGACTCAAGTCTGCTCTGCATACCACGAACCAAAACAGAGAAACCAGTTTTAGTTAAACTTTTAGTGCTTCATTTACTTGGAGCAAACTCCATTAAGAATATAAAAGTGCTGAAACTAAACTGCTTTAAATCAGTGTTAACGTATTTGTTTAGATTACTCCACTTCAACCTTCTTCAAACGCCAATGAGATTGATGGATTTAGTCATGCTGGAAGGCAAAATTATTGAAAAGGTCATGGAAGTATTGCTCTCAAATATTTACACAGTTGTCTAAGCCCATCTTAGAGTCTATTATGGAGGTCTTCAACAGGGGGTCTGCGACCCCTAGATGGTCCGCAGAGGTACTGCATGGGGGTCGCAAAGGTTTTGGTTGAATACTTTGTTTTTATATATTCCCCATGCTATTTTTTCTGCTAATTGTCTTTAAATGTCTTTAAATTCACATTAACATGAATTCAACACACTGAAAGAAAACAGATAAATGGAGGTAGACGATGTCTTTCAGTCATCGATGCACACATTCAGCGACACACAGGAGCTCTTTCAAGCTGGGCACCGTTTCACAACACCTGTCCCATCAACCAGGAATCAGAATCAGAAATATTTTAATAATCCCAGGGAGAAAATACTTACATTACCCATAAAGACACTGTTGCAGAAAACAATTCTACTAAAGATAAATGCATAAATGTATTTTTTTTCTAGAGCCTGCTTGGAAATTTGTCTTTTGATCCTAGAGATGTTCTTCCAGTGATAAAAGTCTGACTTGGTTACTGCCATTTAGAAACATGGCTTGAACAGGGCCCTGTATTAGGACAGCCAGATATTTGAAAGATTCAAAGTCACCCAAGCTTTAGTAAATGCTTAAACAGAGTAAAGAGTCCTTCCCCCTTTTTAAACAGTCTCTTCTGATGTAGAAATGTATAATTGGGGGCGCAGTCTCCAGTAAAAAGCCATCTCATTGTGTTGTTGTGGCTATTTCTCTGTTAGACACAAAAAAAACAAGATTTTGCTGAGTAATTAAGTTGCCGATTAAAAATTATTTTCCTGACAGAGATCTTTTGTTAAATAAATGCAGTTTGAAACCTGCTAAGCCCAATGGGCCGAGTAACAACCATTAACAAATATTGTAGTGTATGCAGCCCTTATGTGCAGCCACATCCTTCATTTCAGTGATCTTTGCAGTGTTATGTTTTCTCTCTCATGATCATCAAATATCACAATGGTACAGAAGAAGAAAATGACAGATTGGGAGGTTTTGGAGATGATTTGTCAGACCAAAGTCAAAAACAGTTTGCATTAGATGCGGAAGATAAGTTTTGCTGTAACTTTCTATTCCAGCATAGTTACACTACAGTTCTACTGTTTTAAATAGAGGGAACATAAATAAAGTTGGAAATAATTCTAAATGTTGATCGGTCATAAAAAAAAAAACTGTATCTTAAACTTTTTTATATATATTCCCCCCTGCAATGTTTTTCACTATTGTCTTTAAATGTCTTTAAATTCACATTAACATGAATTCAAACACTGAAGTAAACAGATAACTGGAGGCAGAAGATGTCTTTCAGTCATCAATGCACACATTCAGTGACACAGAGGAGCTCTTTCAAGCTGGGCACCGTTTCATTCACAACACCTGACCCATCAACCAGGATTAACACTCAGAAATACTTTAATAATCCCAAGGCAAAAATACTTACGTTACATTACACCATATGTAATAGAGTGACTATAGGACCAGTTTGATATAACACTATTTCATACAATATATATAATTAGGGGGTCCCTGCTCCATCTTGCCATCAGTTTGGGACTCTTTGGCCTGGAAAACCGCATTGTATAATATTGTTAGATAGAACAGGGCTTTTCAAAATGCGAGTCGTGACATGCCTAAGGGTGGGCAGAGCGCTAGACAAAGTATCCACAGACATGGCTTCATGTTACTCTGACAGCCCTAAAACAATCTGACTGTTGGCGGTGAGTACTTGATATTATTTTTTATCAAGGAGGGAGATGACACCATTCCGTAAAACAGAAAAGTCGATTTTTGTCATTGCAAATTTTTTTCAGAGGCGTAAGGCATTCGCAGGCTCCTGCTCTTAGAACAATAATCCCAGCGTTAAGGTATGCACAAACATTTAAACATCACAGGAGGCACAAAAGAAATGGGAGGTGCATTCCAGAAAGCCAGAGATCCATCCCAGTCCTTTATGGTACCATTCCTCTTTAGCTGACCTTGGTGCAGAGGTACACCGTAAATGTTCTCTGACTTCCAACTTTCTAAATACAACCAGTAGAGAAAGTTTAAAAGAATGCTAAAAGAACAGAATACACCTAAGACAAAGTATGGTTGATGTAATATCTTAAGAAAAACAGGGTAAAGTTAACATAGATTAAAATTTTCTATTAAGACTCCTCCCTTTTAAAATAGAAGAGTAAAAGAATAAATAAAAGAGAAAATGTTCAAACACATTGAGATCGGCTTCCTGCATGAACTCTGGAACTGCAGCACAGGGGACACTCGTGGACTAGACTGTTAAACCAGGTAAGTGACCAACTCAGATAATCATCTTCTGTCAGATGATCGTGGTCACTTGCCTGTGTTTCTCCCACTAACAGAGTGTCTCAGATTGGGCAGTGCCCTGACCCCCACCTGCAGTTGCCGTGTGCCACAGATCCTACCAGTTCCCCTTTTAGTTTTGTTCTTCATTAAATAAACGTTTTGAACTTGCCCACTGACTGTCTCCTTGAATACTGGGTCCACCTGTCCTTGTTTCATGACAGTCAAGCCTATTTTAAGATGAAGCAAAACAGAATGCAGTTTCTATTGACTGTGTAATGTTACAAAAGCATCTCCAGACCTCCTGCGTTACGTTAACGCACAGACTACTGTTTATATAGTACATATATTTTCTTAACAACTACCTTATTGATTTAAAACAAATAGGCAATTATGGACTATTTGGAAACTTGGAGATGTCTTTTCCCATGGCAAGAAATTATGCCCTCTACCTGTGTGACCTAAGAAGAAGATGGTGGTCACCATCACATCCAGCCTGGATAAACTGCAGTGAATACAAGCATCTACACAAGATATACACAACAGTAGTACATCACTCCCAACTGAAGTGGCCTTCTAGCTCATTCGAATGAGAGACTTTTACCAAACAGCAGTCTAGCATCACCACCAACTGGCCGAACATCATCTCTGCAACCCGATTGGTTAAGAGTGAAAGCTCAGAGAGAATGGGTCCATTGAGGTGATGATGGTTCAGACACCACTAGTGCCTAAAGTTTAGACATCAGGTCAAGTTAGGAAAAGACAAAATTATTTGTCGAGAACAAATAAATTCAATTAAATTTAAAGAGAATTAAATTGCTTTACAGGATGTGCTTTGGTGGAGCAGCGGTTAGCATGCACGACCCATGTCCTCAGTCAAGGCATTAATTAGTCCTCGGCATGGCCGACCCGGGTTCAAATTTGAATTGTGTTTCTAGTTCTAGGAGTACAGCATAGGCTTGGTCTAGGAGGTTGATACACTGACAATAAATCTGTTATATATTGAGGTGCCGATCCATTCAGTGATTTATATACTAACAGAAGAATTTTAAAGGTTATTCTATGAGCCACAGATAACCATTGTAAGGACTTCAGAACCGGGCTGATGTGCTCTACTTTCTTAGTTCTAGTGAGAACACTTGCAGCAGCGTTTTGGATCAGCTGCAGCTGCCTGATGGACTTTTAGGCAAACCCATGAAGAAACTGTTGCAGAAATCAATACTA